GAACTCAGATCTGGAACAAGTAAATGTAATTAACATTTATAGAACTCTCCACTTTAAATATACAAAATATACACTCTTATCAGTACCACATCATATCAACTTAGAAGTTTAAAAGAAATCTTGGTTGGCTCCTTGTTTGCTATTCTCTTCCCTCATTTTCTTTCATGTCTCCATTATTAAGGACAATTATAGGCATACCCATATTTAGACTGCATTCTAGCCCGGGCAATAAAGCAATACCCCCATCCTCTCTCCCTCTTCCTCTTTCTCTTTCTTCCTCTTCTAAAAAAAAAAAAAAAAAAGAATATAGACGCACAGATTCCATTAGCCATTGAGCTAATGGCTCAGTATGATATTAACAAGTGTATATAGTCTCTGGAAAGATATACTTTCAATTTTGAGAGAGAAAAAAGCAATGTTGTCATATTACTGTAAGAAGTATTTCAATCTTGCAGAACCCTTAAAAATGCCTCAAAGACTCTAAAGATCCCTGGGCCACACTTTGGGTATTATGGTCTTAAAGAATAAAAGTTTGTTGTCCCAATCTCCCCCCATATATTTCAATTACTCACTTTAAGACTAATTACTATGTTAGATGCCTTATGCAACAACATAGAAAGACATTATTATCTGCAACTTACATGTGATAAAATTGAAGTTTAAAAGGAATGAGTACTTTGACTAACATTACATGACTTACTGATATCGTAGTCAGTTTACAATCCCATAAAAAAAAAAGAAAGTAGCTGTTATAAATATGTTCAGTGAACTAAAGAAAACCACATTTAAAGAATGAAAGAAAAGTAATGATGATGTCTTACCAAATAAAGAATATCAGTAAACAGATATAAATTATTTTAAAAACAGATAAAATGGAAATTCTAGATTTGAAAATTATAATAAATTAAATTAAAACGTCACTAAAGAGACTCAACAGTGGATTTGAGACAGCAGATGAAAGAATTAGCAAACTTGAAGATAAATTGACAGAGATTATGCAACCTGATTGACAGTAATAAGGATGAAGAAAAAGGAACACAGCATCAGAATAATGTGAAGAAAAAGGAATACAGCATCAGAATAATGCCGGTAGCCTCAGCTCTTTGGGAGGCTGAGGCAGGAGAATTGCTTGAAACCGGAAAATGAAAAGTTACAGTGAGCCGGGGTCGCACCACTGCACTCCAGCCTGGCGATAGAGCAAGACTCTGTCTCACACACACATACACACACACACACGATTGTTCAATCCCGCATGATGACTCACTCCCACTCCCATAATCCTGGCACTTTGGGAGACTGAGGCAGGATTGCTTGAGTCCAGGAGTTTGAGATCAGCCTGGGTAACATAGTGAGACTCTGTCTCTATAAAAAGTAAAAAATTAGGCATGGTGTGTGACTGAGGTGGGAGGAGCCTGGGAGGTGAAGGCTGCAGTGAGCTGTGATTGTGCCACTGCACTCCAGCCTGGGTGACAGAGCAGGATCCTATCTCAAAAACAAAATACAAAACAAAAAGACTGTAAGCAATAAATTTGTTCAGCAAGTTTGCAAGATGCAAAATCCGTACACAAACCAATCATATTTCTATATTCTAGCATCTGAAAATGAAATTGAGAAAACAATCCCATTTACAAAAGCGTGGAAAAGAATAAAACAGGGATAATTTTAAGAAAAGAAGTGTGACACTTGCACATTGGAAACTACAAAACATTGTTGAAAAGAATTAAAGATCTAAATACATGGAAAGAAACCCTATATTCCTGGATCAGGGATTTAATATTGTTCAGAAGGAATGGAATACTCTCCAAATTTATCTACAGAGTCCAAGAAATCCCTATCAAAATTCCAGCTTAATTTTTGGGTAAGTTGGCAAGCAACAAGCCAGGCTCAAGCGATCCTAAAATTCATGTGGAAATTCAAGGGACCCTGAATAGTCAAAACTATTTTGAAAAATAAGAACAAATGTGGAGGGGGCTCAGACTTCCTGGTTTCAAAATGTACCACAATGCTACAGTAATAAATGATGTAGCAATGGCATCAGGACTGACATACAGATCAGTGGGCTAGAGCTGCAAGTTCAGAAATAAATGCTTGCATTTGCAGCCTATTAATGTTTAACAAAGTGACCAAGGCAGTTCAAGTCAACAAATGATGCCATAACAATTGGGTATTCAGATATAAAAAAATTAAGTTAGATCCTACCTCATACCATGTACAACAACTTACCTCAAAACTGATCATAGATCTAAATATAAGAACTAAAACTATAAAAGTCTCAGAAGAAAATACAGAAGTAAATCTTCGTAACCTTTGGTTAGGTAATGGTTTTTCAGATTTGACCACAAAAGAATAAACAACAAAGAAAATAAGATAAACTGAATTTTACTGAAATTAAGTTGTTTCTTCCTCAAAGGACACCATCAAGAAAGTAAAAAGGGCTGGCATGGTGGCTTATGCCTGTAATCCCAGCACTTTGGGAGGCTGAGGCGGGTGGATCATTTGAGGTCAGGTGTTCAAGACCAGCTTGGCCAATATGGTGAAACCCTGTCTCCACTAAAAATAACAAAAATTAGCTGGATGGCAGTGGTGCACACCTGTAATCCCAGCTACTCAGGAGGCTGAGGCAGGAAAATCACTTGCGCCTGGGAGATGGAGGTTGCAGTGAGCCGAGATGGTGCCACTGCTCTCCTGTCTGGGGGAGAGAGTGAGACCCAGTCTCAAAAAAAAAAAAAAAAAAAAAAAAAGGAAAGAAAAAAGAAAGAAAGTAAAAAGAGAACCTACAGAATGGGTGAAAATAATTGAAAATAATGGGTGAAAATATTTGCCAATCATATATCTGTAAAGGATACAGTATCCAGAGTATATTAAAAACTCTTATAACCAAAATGAAAAGACAACCCAATTAAAAAACAGGCAAAGCATTTGAATAGACACTGCTTAAAGAAGGTATTCAAAGGCCAGTAATTTCATGAAAGATGCTCAACACTATTGGTCATTAAGTGGATGCCTGACTGTAATAAAAAAGATGATGACACGTGTTGGTACGGAGAAATCAGAACCCTCGTACACTGCAGGTGGGAAAGTAAAACGGTACAGCCCCTCTGGAAAACAGTTTGGCATTTCCTCAAGAAGTTAAACATAGAGTTACCACAGGACCCAGCAATTCCACCCCTAGATTTAAACCCAAGAGAAGTGAAAGCAGATGTTAAAACAAAAATGTGTACACGAATGTTCATAGCAGTGTTATTCATTATAGATACAAAATGGAAACAACCCCAGTGTCCATTAACAAATGAATGGATAAACAGAAGGTGGTATATCCATACAATGGAGTACTATTCAGCCATGAAAAGAAATGAAGATACATGCTACGACATGGATGAACCTCAGAAACATGCTAAGTAAACAAAGTCACAAAAAATCATTATTAAACGATTCAGTTTGTATGACAGAAAGTAGATTAATGGTTGCTTAACGTAGGTGATGGGAGGTAGGGAGTGACTGCAAATGGGTGTTGGGTTGTGTTTCCTTTTGGGGATGATGGAAATGTTGTGAATTAACATTTTGATGAACATAGTTTAAGAGTCTATACTAGAAAGTGTTTAGCTGTACACTTTTTAAAAAAAAATTTAACGTTTTTTAAAAGATTGTTTTGAGACAGGGTCTCACTCAGTTTCCCAGGCTGGAGTGCAGTGGAACGATCTCAGCTCACTGCAGCCTTGACCTCCTGGGCTCAAGCCATTCTTCCATCTTTGCCTCCTGACTAGCTGGAACTACAGGTGTGTGCCACCATGCCTGGCTAATGTTTTGTATTTTTGGTAGGAACGAAGTTTTGCTATGTTCCCCAGGCTGGTCTCACATTCCTGGGCTCAAGGGATTCCCCTGCCTTGGCCTCCCAAGGTGCTTGGATTACAGGCATGAGCCACTGTACCTGGCCCAGCTGTACACATTAAATTGGTGAATTTTATGTTACATGAATTATATCTCAATAAAGATATTTCAGGAAACTAAAACCAAAAAACCACCTTAGGGCTGATGGGAGAGGGAGACAGAGGACCCACGGTGTGACTCCTAGGGTGTAGCTGCTCACAAATGTGGGGTCCACACTGCAGCTTTCCTCTGAGGTAGGGGTTGGTGGTTGTACCCTCCCCAGGCTCTAGCACTGGAAACGAGTGGAGACAGGCGCTCTTGGACCTGAACTGGCCTTGCCACAGACGCAAGTCAGGGTGGTGCCTCCTCAGTGCCCCTCACGGCGAGGCCTCCGTAGGGTTAGGGACGTGGTGCAATCACAGTGACTTGTGATTTGCAGTTCTCTGAAAAGCACTTGCCCCTGTCTTGTGGAGTTACTGCTGTGAGTCCCACTTAATAGGGAAACCTGAGCCAGAGATGGGAAGGGTCTTGAGCAAGGTCAGTTGTGTATTAGTGGAGGTCGAATGGTCCTCAGCCTGGTGCTCTTTCTTCTTCCTGTCACTCTGTTCTTCATCTACAAAATGCTCCCCTCTCTGCTGAGACAGGGAGGGGGGATCACGGCAGGGCCAGCCCTACTAGTCTTTGCTTCTTGGCAAGGGTGCAGATTATTACAACATCTGCTTTGCAGGGATTCTACTGGACAAGGATGTGGTCACAGAGTTCTCAGGCTGAGAATCAATGGAGGCACGTGATGCTCATCTGCTTATGAGGAAGTGAGGAAGATGCCACTTTCTTGCCTGGTCCACTGATGGGTGAGAGTTCTGGCCTACTTAATGATCTCCCTCCAGCTTTTTTCTTTTGGTAGCCATGAGTGTTTGAGAACTTTACTAATCTAGGTAAGATCATAACTGTCCTCTAACACTGCGCGCCAGCAGACTCTCCCTTCACTGATGACAATCTCCAGGAAGCCTAGGTGCCTCAGAATCCCATCGCATCATCACTGGGACTCCCAGTGCACACTCTAAGATACCTCCCAAATCGTGCTCCCAACACACATCTCACCTTTAACACACACCCTAAACAACACTCTGCACTTGGGTTTACAGAAGTGTTTATTAAACAGGATCTGACAGCTTTGACATCAGACTTTCTGGTTTGCTTCTTGCAACCTGGCCATCCAGCTCTGCTGGCTGGGGCTCTGAGGAAAGAGTGCTCTGATGCACAGGAACGTCAGAGGCTGGCCATGACCGTGCCGGGAGGATGTCTGTGGCCATCGCATTCCCCTTCCACACACGACAGGGGGAAGATGCCTGGCTCCACTCCACTTAGACTCTTTCTGTGCACAGGGACCTGCCTGGGACACATGGCCCATCAGCCACAGGGCGCAATCCTTGCCTACCGCCTACCCATACCCATGTCGCATATTGTTCCCTCTTCCCTGACTGTGGATGGTCAGATCCTGAGGTCCTGCCTTGATGGCAGCTGTAGAAGCAGCTCTGCTGCTCTCGCCATCGAAGGCTCGCAGGAATGTCTTGATTAGCCATTTGTCATCTGACTGGAGACTCCTGACCTAGGTTACCACAGGAAGCGCTCTGCTTATCTGCTTATCTGGAACACCTGCTGCACTTAGGCACCAAACTGATACTAGCTTCTGGTTGGCCATTGTTTTCATACCTTTGTAAAATAACTTGTAGGGAACGTTGAAAAGCGTGCAAGCACAAACACAGGTTTCGCATTAGACTGTGGAGCGTGCGCTCTAAGGCTCGCTTTATGGAGCCTGGCGTCAGGCCCCACGGGGACTGGGAAGTCACAGGACTCTTCCTCCTGACTGTTCCGTCACTGCAGCTGCCGTGAAGAATGGTGTCTGCTCTTCTTGGCAACAACCTCGTGGACCCAATGGCAATTTTCAGAAGGAAAATCTATACTGCAAATCCTTTACAGTTTACAAAGGAAAATTTGACTCAACTGCCTTGGTTTCTTCTGGGTTAACTGTCACTGCTGTGGCAAAGTTCCATGGCAGAGAACTTGCCTGCCTGCCCACCTTCCTCCTGTTCTCCCGTTTTCCCGCCTCTTCCTCGCCTCGCTTTCTTCCATTTTGAAGACGTTTATATTTATCACCTATTCTGCTACCAGGCACTTAAGGATGCCACTTCTCTGTGCTGTGTGACCTCTGGGCAGCCTCTGTGGTCCTGCACACAGCGGGCACTGCGTCCTGGGCCCTGGCACTCACTGCTGGGAACTGCCATAGGCTTTTAGTGGCTTTCGGTTTGCGTCATCTGCTTGGAATCTTGGAAAGGCCATGTGGTGGGGAGGCAGGGAGCCCCCGGCCATGCTTCTGGAATGAGCTTTGCTCATCTGGTCTGGCGTTCCCACAGTGAGCACAGAGTGGTATTGTTTCCCTGAGTCGCTCAGGCCCAGCCCTAGAGCATGCAGAGAATGCGGCTAATGGCCGGCTGCTCCCACCAGAGGCTTGTAGCCTCTCTTCCTGGCCCTGAGCAGTCTTGAATGGTCAAGACCCATGGCCACCTTCTCCTGTCTTAGAGACGCTTAAGTTGCTGATGCTTCCCTGGGCCTTCAGAGATGGGCGGACCATAGGTTCCTCATGGAGTGCTGGTCCCTGGGTCAGGAGTAAGGAAAGCCCAGAGGCGTTTCCTGGGTAGACATCCTCTGGCTCTTCTGGGCTGAGGCAGTAGCACCTGCAGCCTCATGTGCAGTGGGAGGGATGGTTTCACTGGGGAAGCACAAGGGTTTCCCCACCTGTGGCCAGGAGGAAGGAGCTTCTGCTGGCTTGAGGTGGCGTGAGCCTTGTTCGTGCCTCCCTTGAGGCTTCTGCAGAAATGCTGGCCTGTCACACCTCCTGATGGCCTCAGGGGCTCAGCCAGCATGGGGGTGTCTGGTTACCCTTGAGAAGCTGACCTCAGAAGATGCTGAAACTCCAGAGGGGGCCATCGAGTTAGGTAGACCCCTCACTGAGTGTCCTCCAGGCTGAAGCAAGGCTCAGAACAGGCCAGTGGCTGTAAGAGATGACAGGAAGAGTGGGGCCTGGGGAGGGGGGATGATGGGTGTTGTGTCCGAGGTGGTCTCCTCTGGCTCGCTGTCCTCATCATCCAGACCTTCGGCGAGGGAGGGGACGATGCGGACCACGTTGTCTTCAAAGTGCACCTGCTTTTTCTTGGCCAGGGAGTCGGCTGGCTCCAGGCTCAGCTCCATCAGGGTGTTGGGAGGCTGGAGGGCACTGGATTTCTTGGTCCCCTTCAGGATGCTCTTCATGTGGATGAAGAGGGAGCTGGGCCCCTCCTTGAGGGCTCCATGGAAGGTGTAGGTTTGCTCTGTGTCCCCAGAGCCAGTGGTGCTCACAGCGCTGCTGGAGGGGTCTGTGTACTGCTCTGGGGAGGCCAGCACCTCGGGGGCAGCTTTCCTCTTCTTCCTCTTGCTCAGAAGGAAGTAGGCCAGGCCGGTGATGATGAGCATGGAGCCTGGAAAAGAGCCGGAGGTCAGGACACTGCATGAGTCACGGAGAAAATCCAGAGGCCTTGCAAGCAAGCCGCGCAGCAGGGCTCCTGTAGCCTTGCGCTGTGTGGCCATGCACAGGCCCCTGTGTGGCCCTCTTGCCTGGCTTGTTTTCACACCCACATCAGATTTGGGGGTCCACCTGGAGGCTGGGACGGGGATGCGAAGGATGGGGGCTCTGCTTTTCAACATGGTATCCCTGGAGGGCTGGCTTCCCTGTATGGTAGACGGGTTCATGAGGAGGGGGCACAGTTTTCACAGACAGGGAGCAGAGAGGAGAAGGACATTAGCAGAAAAGGTCATGGATGAAGCTGAAGAGGTGGGAGCAAGAAATCCTGGGTTCTGCCATCAGAAGCCAGGCTGGTCAGTGGTATGCACCCGGTGAAGTGGAAGTAGATGAGGCTGTGCAGGTTTTCCGTGGTTCCAAGCCAAAGTGCCTTTCAACCCAGGCTGAGGAGTTTGGACCTTATGGGTAGACACTGAGGAGATACGGAAGGGTCTGGGCAGGGAAGTGGCCATGTCGCACCCTTGGGAAGCTGGGCAAGGAAGCCATGTCGCACCCTTGGGAAGCTCCGCGCACACGGTCAGTGGGAGGAAAGGTGAGCTCCACTTCGTAGTTCCGCTTCTGGATGGTTCTATGCAGGAAGGATGCACTTCTTGGGACATTCCTGCCTTTTGGTCAGCATGGAGGATGCCTGGCATTCCTGTGATTCCTCATGCCCACCCTCTAGGTCAGAGAGGACAGTGGGGCAGGTATGGACCCTGGAACTACCACTGGAGCTGGGCTTTGAGGGGTAGCCCCTCCTGCTCAGAGCCCCCCTGTGCTGGGGCTGCATACTTCTATCCCTGTGCTCTTACCTGGGATGGTCACATGCCAGACCAGGACCGGGTGCAGGAAGCAGGCCACTGACAGCAGCAGGTAGGCCAGGAACTTCTGGAAGCAGCCCAGCCAGTGGGCCTTCTCCCTTGCTCTGTCTGCCAGGGACCCTGGTTGACACCTAGGGGAAGGGAGCCTAGGTTAGGAGAAGGTGCCCCAGGTAAACCCCAGCAAGACAGGAGGCCGTGGTCTGAGCTTGTCCCTACTGTGGGCAGGCTCTGCAGTGGGCCGGGGCTGAGCAGGAGGCCCTGTGGTCCTTGCTGTGGGTTCCACAATGAGTGGGCTTGCCTGAGTCCCTCTAGAGGGTCCACGATTTTTTGAAAGGCTGTCAAGCCCTATCTTTCTGGTCAAGGGGGAAGCAAGTTAATGCTCTCAGGAAGCTGCCTGGGTCAGTGAGGAAGACAGTGGGAGACTCAGGGCTCACAGTGCAGATAAAGTGTGCAGTTCGGGAGCCCTGAGCAGGGGCACTGTGCTTGCAGTGTACTGCACAGGAGGCCTGGCCAGGTGGGTGAACAGGCTGGAATCCAGCTGTGCCCTGTTTGCCCAGCCTCGCCTAGGCACAAGACAGTGTCGGCCTAGAAAGGCTTCTTTTCTAACTGCACAGGGACCACGCATGTCCCTGGCAGAAGCCTGATGTTGAGCAGCTTCCTTCAGGGGCGCTGCCTCCAGGTTTCACAGAGGGCAAGTGCCTGCCTTTAGACCCAGCACCTTCATCCTCTGAATTGGCCTAGAGCTGGGGCTCTGCACAGCCGCATCCTGCCCCTGTAGCTTTGAGGGAGTGCACAGAGCAGGTGGCCCAAAGCGCTGCTCTCTTAAGCGCAGCAGGAGGGAGTGCGATGGCTCACTGATGCCCCCTGGTGCCCATTCCTGTGTGCGTCTGGTGGCGGGGCGCAGTGGAGTCCATCCAGGGCCGATTACTCCCCAGCCTTCTCCCCAGCTGAAGTTTCAAGCACACCTTGGCAGTGGAATTCAGCAGAAGGGGAAAGCTTTCTGCCTTAGGGCTGGTGACTCTGGGAGGCCTTGCAAGGTGCTGGGACAGCTGGATCTGAGGCCTAGCTCTATCACTGACCACCCAGGGACCAGTGTCTAGGTTCCGAGAGCTGTGGTCCAGGACCCCAGTCCTTGGTCCCACTGACGACAGCCTCCACCTACTGAGTGTAGGCTCGGCAGCAGCAGGGGCCTCACGAGATCCTGCAGGGTCTGCCCTCTTGCCCTATGATGTACCACCCCTGACTTGGCCCCCAACATTAGGAAGAGACAGAGCCAGTTCCCAAACCCAGCTCTGCTCACTCCCAGCTTGGGGCAGGGTCCTTATCCCATGGAAGATGGCTCGGACACCGGGGCCCAGTGACTGGCTGCTCCTGGTGACGGGCAGCTGGACTTTTCTGGGGATTCTGGGCAGGGACAGGTCCTGAATGAATGTGTTGGTTGGTTCTCCTGGTTGGGGCCAGGGCAAAGAAGGCAACGGAGTGTGTGGGCCTGGGCCCAACTCCAGGCCAAGCTGGCTGTACCTCGGGGCGGGAGGGGGGATCCTGTCCATGGTGGCTTCAGGAGCAGGACATTCCCTGGATGTGAGCTCTTGGGTGGAAACATCTGGGGTATCTGGGGCTGGGGTGGGCAGTGAAGGGGTCTCTTTGGAGACTACTTACTGGAAGCAGATGGCCAGCAGCTGAGCCACAAAGTAAGCCCCTTCGCATATGGCGACAGCAGCTCCTGTAAACCTGCGGTGGAGACAGGTGAGGGAGGCTGACGCCTCTGTCCTCCTTCACTTTCTTGAGGGCTGACCTCTCACACGTGGCCTCCTGGACATCACATCTACAGCCAGTGGACTGACCTAGACTCGTCCAGACAACAGCCACCAGGGACTGTCTCCAGGCCAGGGCCGCATTGGGAAAGGGTGGGGCCGGGGGTCAGAGATGGGTGGGGAGGGCACCGTGGCCAGCAGGTGAGATGGTGTTCAGCTGACACCCTGTGTGACACTGGTAAGCATGTCCTTCTACCTGCTGGTCACCAGGATGGACACACACTGCCTGTGTTCCAGCCTTAAAGCTGGACCTGTTCCTGACCCTTTCCTTCTTCCTTTTCCCATTGCCCTAACAGTCACCAGGAGTTATTGATTACATTCCTTCAACACCTTCCAAATGGCTCCTGTTCTCTGACCTCCTGGACATTGCCTGGGTTCAGGCCCTGCCCCATGACCCCTTCCCTGGCTCCACTTCCTCGCTTATCCCGGCCTGTCTCCTGTTCCTCCACTCTGTCACTCTGGGATGCCTGATGGCCGAATCTCATCATGTTCCTCCTGAAACAGGACGCCTTGAAGCCTCCTTTTGCTCCCAGTGTGGTCCAGGGACCCTGCAATCAGCCTCTGATCAGGAATGTGTAGAATTCATGGCTCCCTGGCCACCACTAGACTCACATCAGAATCCTTGGAAATGGAATAGGTACTTATGGAGGGTCTCACTGCCTACTCTCCATGTTCCCTTGACAACACAGAAAGCTGTCAGGTGCCACAGGAGCTTTTGTACAAGTGAGTCCTTCCTGGAAGGCCTTCCCCTTCTCTCTCCAGTCTGTCTGGTGACCTCCTCCTGCTTCTCCATGTGGTACCATATGACAAGAGCCACCAGTCTGTAAACTGCCAGAGGGCATTCTTGGGCTCCATTAATGGGCATTGCAATGAATGAATGAAAGTGGATAGTGTTGTACAGAAGGTGGCTTGGGGCCAGGGTTTCCTCAGAGCCATGGGTGTTTCTCCCAATCAGCTGTGTGACCACAGATGAGAGGTGTGACTTTTCTGTACCTCAGTGTCCTCATCGGTAAACTGGGGGTTATTACAGTGCATCGGCAATAAAATTGTTCTAAGAATTAAACAGCATTTTTAAAGCTCTTGGGGCCATGCTTGCACACTGTGATTATACCAATTCTAGTTATCATTTCTCTCTCCCTGTGATTATTTACATCATTTGGTGATTGCCATTCTTCTCACTCTCTATGCCACCCAGCATCAGCCTCACTCTTACTCCGTGGTTTTAAAATGTTAACAACTAACATTTATGTAATGATTGCTGTGGGCCAAACACAGTTCGAAAGGCCCTGCAAATATCTTGCAATAATTTTACAATAAACACTATAATTTCTATCGGTTTACAGATGAGGAAACTAAGGCATAGAGAGATTTGCCCCGTCAACGATGGGCACACAGCCCTCTATCACCTGAAGGTGGAGGCAGATCTGGAGGAGGGAGGGGAGTGGAGGTCACAGCCTGGTGACCCTGCAGGCAAAACACGACATTTGTGGGGCAGCTTGGTTAACTGTTACCTATTGCTTCTCAGCTCAGTAAGCTCCTCAGGATTAGGGGGGCTAGAACACACAGGCTTCCTATATCATTAGGAAGAAACTGCTGGAAGCCCCTTAGGATGGGGCTGCAGAGATACTGGGGCAGAGACCCAGGTTCTTCTCACCCCCTGGGTCACCACTGCACGGTGATCACCTTCCTGCCAGGGCACATTTTCAGAGGTAGCTGGTAGTGGAGAAGAAAAGACATCATCTGGGGAGCAAAAGGGTCTTGGGTGCGAATCTGAGTCCTGCTGTTCATGAGTCTGGTGATGTGGGCTAACCTGCTTACTCCTGAATTTTCTCATCTGTAAAACTAGGCCAATATGCACTGCTCTTACAGTGCTGTGAAAGTTAAATAACGTAATGCAAACAAGACATTTAACTGCGTTTAGCATGTAGAGAAGCTCAAATATGTATTCCTTTGACCTGATTCCTCTCTCTCTAAAACAAGAGCTCAGTTAACATTTGCTGAAAAAAGAAATGATTGATGAGGTGCATGGACAGGTTGGTGTATGGATGAGTAGATAGATGAATGGATTAATAGATGGGTAGGTGGGTGGGTGGATGGATGGATAGATGGATGGATGGGTAAATGAATAGACAGATAGGTAAATGGATAGATTGGTGGGTACATGGATAGATGGGTGAGTGAATGGATGAATAGATGGGTGGGTGAATAAATGGATGGAGGGTGGATGGATGGATGGTTGGGTGGATGGGTAGTTGGATGGATGGATGGATGGATGTGTAGGTGGATAGATGGATGAATAGGCAGGTGGATGGATAGATGAGTGGCTGGCTGGATAAACTGGATGATAGATGGATAAATGGGTGGGTGGATGGGTGAATGGGTGTGTATGTAGTATGCATATATGGGTAGATGGATGGATGGCTGGGTGGATGGATGAATAGATGGATAGGTGGGTGGGCGGGTAGATGGGTGGATAGATGGATGAATGGATGGGTGAATGGGTGAATAGATTGGTGGGTGAGTGAATGTATAGGTGGGTTGATGAATGGATGGGCAGATAAATGGATAAATGGGTGGCTAGCTGGATGAATTGGTGGATAGATAGGTGGGTAGAAAGGATAATTCATTGATTTACAGGATGGTCTGCACAAACCAGGAACTATTCTAGAGCCCCCCCATTGACTCCCTTCACCCCTGAGATAAAGATGAACTAGCATGGGAAGGGGACTGCCCTGAGTTATTCTGAGTAGACAGATGTAGGATGAGTTGAGCAGAACTTGCAGGTCAAAAGTGGCATGTGCACAGATACTCACAGCAGATAGAAAGCCAGGCTTTTGAACTGCCCCCGGAGGAAGGTCTCAGTGCCCACGCCGATCAACACTAAGGGGCAAGAGAAGAAGGAAGAGTGGGCCTGGTGCTCTACACCACAGCCCAGCCTGTCGAGGGTTCCTTGGTTGTGGAGTGAGCCTTCTCCCTGGGGACTGAGAGCCAAGGTAGATTCTTCTCTTCATGGCACAGGCAGCTGTGACTGGCAAGGTGCAAGAGAGCAGGAAGCCTCCGGGATTGGTCCCTGGAACTCCAGGCAGAGCCCAGAAGGCTTCTGATTAAGCCTCCCCAGAGCAGCCACCCTTAGTGCCCCCAGCGACTGCCCACACTAACATGCCACCAGCCCCTCGGTTCGCAGCTGTTCTTGGCCATGTGCTGGGGCCCACACCAGTGTGTGTTGTGTGTCTGGCTTCAGGGCTTGGCCATGGATGGGCTGTGCCCCAGCCCTGTTCTCTTGCTCGGGTCACTGGTTGCTGTTGCATGGTCTTGGTCTTGCTTGCTGAGGGGTGGTTGGCTGCAGGTCACACTCATTGCTCATTGCTTTGGACCCAGTACTGATTAAACCCCTGGGCTTTCGCTCTGACAAGGAGATGTTGCTCAGCCTCAGCTCTCCTCCTGCCCTTTCTTGGCAGTTGGTGCTGACCTTCCATTTGTCCTGGGTGAATTTCACCTGCCTTTCTAGACTTGCTGTCTCTGGGTGTTCTTTTACAGGGATTTGCTGGCTCCCACGGCTTCCCGCAACCAGCACAGCACTGCCCCTTGCAGTCCCCAATAGAAGCATCCCAGGAGCAGTGCATTGGCCTGCTGAGCAGATGTCTTTCTGCCCCTAACTGATTACACTGCTGGGTACCCTGTTTCTCTCTGGGCTCTGATAACGTCCCTGCTATGTGCTGGAGGGTGGCTTCATCCTCTCTCCCTCCCAGTCAAAGATGGTGGGCTGCGCTGTCATTATCCCTGCTGCACATGGGGCTGCTTCCTGGCTTCTGGTGCTTCCTCTCTTCCCTGGCAGGGGCATTGTGTGGGCTTCCATCCTCTGGTGTCCCAAGCTGAAGGGAGCCCTTCATCCAGTACTGAAACTCCCCTCCTGGAGAGCAGGGAAGAGCCTTGCACTGAAGCCACCAGCACTCCACCCCTCGATTCCAGGGCGAGGGGGTGATCACAGAGATACTGGGGCAGGGGATTGGGAGACGAAGCACTTGGATCTAGGCAGGTGAGAAGACGCGTTTCTGTTTTCTGAGTGATGGATGGGCAACACTGTGCTTCAGGGGCGACTGCCCACACTAACGTGCCACCAGCCTCTCGGTTCACAAAAGGGAGAAGCTAAGTCTCCCACCCTCTCCGGGTTCCAGCTGCCCTGCTGGCTCACCTGGGGCAAGCACTGGCGATGCTAACGGGCCACTGCAGTGTCAGTGAAGGGTCCAAACTTACAGAGCACTTCAGAGCTTCACACCACGGTGCACACGTCCTGGCCCTTCCAGCAGGCCTGTGGCACAGGAGTGCCACTCTCCACAGTTCCCAGTGGAGGACGAGGCTCACTGGCCTGTGTAGTTCACTCAGGGACACATGCTGGAAAGCGAGGTCCCAGAGACCAGATGGAGGCTGCCAGCTCTAGGTGGTGTGTGTTTCCTGCTTCCCACTGCCTGCTGGCATGCATGTGTGCATGTGTGTACACGTGTGTGTGTCTGTGTGGGTAGGCTTGTGAGTGCATGTATGTGTGAGTGTATGTGTGAGTGTATGGCATGTGTGAGCATGTGAGTGTATGTGTGTGAATGTGTATATATGAGTGCATGTGTGGGAATGTATATGTGTGAGTGTGGTTATATGTGAGTATACGTGTCAGTGTGTGTGTGTGTGTGAGTGCATGTATGTGTGTATGGAGTGTATGTGTATAAATGTGCATGTGTGAGTGTGAGTGTATGTGAGTGTATATGTGAGTGTGTGTGTGTGAGAGCGTGTGTACATGTGTATGTGAGTGTATGCATGTGAGTGTGCATGTGCAAATATGTGAGTATATGTGAGTGTATATGTGAGCGTAAGTGTGTGTGTCTATGTGACAGTGTGTGTGAGTGCATGTGTGTATGGAGTGTATGTGTGTGAATGTGCTTGTGTGAATATGTGAGTGCATGTGAGTATGTGTGTGTTATGCAGGCAAATGCCCATTTATCTGGTTTTTGCCACGTCCTGTTCTCAGCACTCAGAATTCATTCACTTATTTAATCATCGCAGCAGTCCTACGAGAAGGTACTCTTGTTATTCCCACTTTACGTAGAGGAAACTGAGGCACACAGAATGTAAGTTAAACCAACCACCCAACTATGGATGCATGCCCAGGTCAGAGCCGGAGTTTCGGCCTCTCATTTTCCAGTTCATAGCACAGTCACCCAATCTCTCTGAGTCTCAGTTTTCTCATGATACCTCCTGCACACGGTGGTCATGAGGACTGCAATCAGCTAACTGATGCCAAGCATGTCATGGGTGCTCAGTGAATCACTGACTGGGGAAGGAGTGCTTCCTGCCCTGCGCCAGGGAAGGGTGTTTGAGTCAGGGCTGACGCCTGCGTTGAGCCCTCCATAGGGCAGGCGTGGGCTCCACCCACATGGCAGCTCATCTTGGCCGATTTGCAGGGGCTTTTGGCTGACGACCAGCAGATGGCAGGAGAGGGTCTTGGGAACTCAGCTTCCTCCCTGGACCTGTACCTGTTTGGCATGTGAACAGCTATTTTGATGCTTTTTGTTTTGTATTCTTTTTTATTTTTCTTTTTTTTATTATTGCATTTTTGGTTTTGGGGTACATGTGAAGAACATGCAAGATTGTTGCATAGGTACACACATGGCAGTGTTTGTTTTGTATTCTTTAGGCAAACAAAGGGTCAGCAGTCAGAGGGGCGTTCAAGGAATACTGTAGAGACAGTGCTGGTTTGCATTAAAAAAATAATAAAAAAATGGCAACAGAGAAATGAGAGCTGGATGGACATCCCAGTTCTATGTGTCATTACACACAAGTGGTAAGTACTGAACTCATCCAAGCTGTGTTTTCTCATCTGTGGAAGGGGCAGCATAAGTTATAACTCACAGAGTCATTGCTTGGATTGGAGAAAACGAGTCTGGAACGCACGGCTTAGTGCCTGATAGATGTCAGGTGATCAATGCAAAGAGGCGACTCCTTCCCCCAACTCGGCCCTGGCAGCTTTCTCAGTGTCCAGCCAGCCACTTTGCACTGAGGGGCATGGGGCCACTCTCCCACAAGCTCCCTCCCAACCACAGCCGGCTTGATTCTGCATGCCAAGACTGACAGATGCCCTTTGGCGGGAGGAGGAGAGAGTGGGGAGCCGGGAGTACGGCTCCTCAATGCACACAAGGTCGAAGGGAATCAGTGGGGCACTCACGAGAGATGGTAAAGCCCTTTGACGTTCAGGCCAAGGGGTCATCGCTTCCTGCTTGATCCTCCCACTTTTGGGGTTTGTGTTCCTGGACGCAGAGCATGCCAGGTTGAGACAACACGAACCCACACTGAGTCCCTCCTCTGTCCTCTGCTCTGTCTGCTTCTGGCCTCGATGCTCAGGCAGCTCTGCTGGGAGCGGCAGGCCCACCCTCCTGGGGCGGTGAGGGGGTGGCTCCTGCCTGCTTCTTCTAGGCCCACGTGGTCTTTGGTGGTTACTGGTTGGCCCAGGCACCGGGCTCATTCCTGGGGTATACTTAGTCCAGCAGGAGAGGTGTGATGTGGACTGAGAAAAGTGTATTCAGTGAGGGCAGTGACCCAGGCTGGATGAGGTCACTCAAGAGATCTGGGGCCAGAGAGGAGGGGTCACTCGTGGGACTATGAGGAAAGATGAATAAAGAGGAAGCCAGAGTGGACTAGGAAAGCAGCAGGGATGAACCTGTGCCGACGGAGGGGCCAAGCATTGTGGGGGGTGGGGGTCCCTAACAGCAGGAGCAGGGGCACGGTGGGGGGCAAGTGGGCAGTGCCCGTGGATCAAGGCGACTGTGGGGTCCTTAAATATCGGGTTCCACAGTGTGAGCAGGAGACTCGTGTTTAGATTGGATTGGTATTTCAGAAAGCTCCCTGATCCTGTGCAGCTGGTGAGAGACTTTGGTGACATTTGGTGGTGGCTGGGGGGCAGAGACTAGCTCCAGGTGCTCCTGGCCACCCCTTCTCCCAGCACAGGGTATCTACCAGTGCTCTTTGTTGGCTTGGGCTTTAAGCGGTTCTGGCTTGGCTCCTGAAGGTGTGGCACAGGTGGCTTTGTTGTTCAGTGGCACAGTAGGGCCAGGAGAGTGGAGGGTCTATTCTGTGTGGGGACCCAGTGAAGGAGGCTTCCCAGGAATAAAGCAGAAGGCATGCCCTGCCATTGCAGGTTGATGTTTGGGCTTTATCTGAGCAGTAGGAGGCAGAGATGTGGACTGGCCAGGAGATGTGTCTGGGATTGGAAGCTTCCTGTGTGTGTCAGCCCTGTTGCCTGTCACCCAGGTACCACCACATGCCATGCAGACAGTAGGCCCTCTCCATACGTCTCGTTTCATCTGCACACCTCCCAAGTGGGAACTGCCAACCCTAAGGTCTCCCAGTTTTCTCAGCGATGTGCTGGGTGCCATCTCTCAGGAAAGTTGGCTTAGAATGGCTTTGCTGTGAAGACACTCCTGCTAATCTCTGAGGAGTGAGACCAACATATTGTGAGGAAGCCCAAGCCAGCCTTGTAGAGAGACTGCTAAAAAGAGAGAGAAAGAAATGAGAGAGAGAGAGAGAGAGAGAGAGAGAGAGAGAGAGAGAGAGAGAGAAGAGAGAGAGAGAGAGAGAGAGAGAGAGAGAGAGAGAGAGAGAGAGAGAGAGATGGGGGGCACAACAGTCCCAGCTGGTTCAGCTTTGCACAGGACAAATGACAGAAGAAGTTATCTTTGACATTCCAGCTCCAGCAGATGTGACATAGACTGGAAGTGATGGACCCAACCAACAATCAGAGCCAAAGCATCAGATGAGCCACCTCAGCCCTGTGAGCCATGCCAGCCACCCTACCTGTGAACCCACCTGTGGCCCCAGTCATCCTGGAGCAGAGGTGA